ACAGACAAAGCCAATAGCAAATGAACAACTCTGGAAGGACGTGATGCCTGATTGAAGCAATTACCATTCGACGCCTACAAGCCAGTCTCGGATTCACTTATGAAATTCCTCAGAAAGGAGCCCTTGAAGCTTTTCTCCGACAGGGGAGGTTCCTCGCTCATTCTTGCTCATTTGTGAAAATCATCCTCAAGAAAGTTCACAAAAGAACTACAGTAATCTTGAAATGACAGTATTCCCAGACTGTACTAAGCAAACCCCTACGCTCGCCAGCTATGGCGACGGGAAGACGGCGGCGCTCGTCGGCGTCTGTGCGTCATTGTCGGGTGCCTTTCAACTGGCCGACTGTTATCCTAATGGCCATAAACTGATAGCTCCACTAAATCACCACCGATAATATCGTCAATGGGGAGATGTAAAAACGCGTGAAATGAGTTCGCAGGCGGCTCATCAGAAGGACCGAATGGGGGAAAGAATGAACAAAGTCACGTACCGCTCGGGAAATCGAAAACGATTCCGTTCGATGAGAAACGTAAGGAATGTGAACAGGCTGATAGAAAAGTCGAATCCACCCCACATAATCATCCATGTTCGAGCTGCTGCCTAAATTTCAACAATTTCGAGTCTTCGTTGCTATGTGGGACACTGAAAGGTCCCCTACCCTACAGAAAGAAGGGGTCTCTCTCAAAATCCTCACTTTTTCCTCGCTACTAAACATGACATCAGCTCCACATTTATAGGCACAGACTCCTTCGTTGTCCAATGGATCGATATCGATTAAATCGTGTGGACATGAAAGTGATGACGGTCGAAGACGATGACGATGAACAGATGACCTGTAATGATCGCTCAATCAACTTGGGACCAATCTTATAAATAGTAGCGCTTCAAGATTCCCTCGTGTTCCCGGACGAATGATAGTATTGCATGGCATGGAGTGTGGACGAGTTTCTATCTTCGTATTGACGAATGGGAGCGTATCTGCTGTGGCGACGTGTTCATCATACTTTTAAACTGTCTATCGTATCGGAAGGTTTCTCGAGAAACCATCTGTTCCCACCTACGACCCTGCCGGTATCCTCCCTTGTGACCAATGATGTTATTCTCAGTTCTGGAACATCAAAAGGTCGCCTAGGACTGCTTGGGTTATCTCAAACTTGTGAAACGGGAGAAATCGCCTGCTATAGGTAGGGTACGGATCCTAAACTTACAGGTCCAGAGTTCCGGGAAAACGGTTCTTGGGATTACCAAAACAGCACGCAACACTCACGTCTTTTCATAGCTATGCCTGTCCTCGTCCGGATTCATGCACAGGTCCGGTTCCTGTGGGAAACGACTGCAGTCCAATGGCTCGGGCCATGAAATACCAAACTCTTCAAGGATGGACGAACAGTCAGCTTTCACCTGAAAACTTGCCGCTTCAGCGATGGAAACGAGAAAACAGACAATTTTCAAGGGCAAAAAATCACATATTGGAAAAAATTTTTTATTGGGTATTCATGTAGCAAGTGCACTTTGTTAAGTGCAATACTTCCTTAAAATCAGTAATAGCTGATAGTATGGAAATCCTAAAAATCAGGCTTTTTTCAGGCTGTTCCTGAGGGATTTCTTTTCCGTCTTGAGACTCAGAATTGTACGAAGCTCTGAGAAATGGTCTTGGTAGGCTGTTGGCTATGGGAGCTGCTAATACTTTGTGGTCCACATATTAAATCTCAGACGGGACTTTCATCCATTCAATCTCTCAAATCGGCTGGATAGTGCCATTCCCGTGATGGATGCTTACTCGGGTCATCCGCTAGAACTCGGCCACTGTCTCAGATAAAACCGTTTTGAAAACAACCACAGCCTTAAGAAGGTTCAAGTGCATGGCGCACTCTCGTAGAAATTCGCGGCCTTCAAACCACCTGTCCTTTTGTCAAATTCTTGTAACTCAGCCGTTTGACTGTGACTGTTAGCAGCACAGACATACCTTTGATGGTCTTGAACCGAACAGAAAAGGACTTTGGACGAGTTATGACCAAAATAAGGTAATTTAGTGCTCATTAAAAAGCTGACTCACATAGCTAGCCGACTTATTTAATGGACAGGTGATGGACTAGATAAGACTAGCATGAATCGAGTAAACGATCCATAAAAATCCAAAGAAATGATAAGGAAATACCTTGAGAAAAAGACAGGACCGCCAAAATCAGGATTTTGGCGAAATGCCAAGGATTCAACCACTTCGTCCCTTTTATAAGAGGTGATTTTATTTGGGTAACAAGTCTGACGGTCTACTTTAGCAATTTCTATTTGCCCAGTACTATTTACCCAGAACATCCCATCAGCTGCCCATTGCCGTTCATCAAACCACCCTCATCAACGTGTAATTACTTTCTAAGAGCAGCTGGTAGACACGTATTGTGTATTTAAGGTTAGCTTGACCTCTACCGTATCCCCATGTCCGCCCTTACCGTAATCACCCCACAACAGTGTCGGCCATAATCACTAAAGTGCTAATCCCCTATCCGACGAATCTGACCAAGACTAAGCCGTTCCCTAAGGTCAAATTACCATAATCTGGTCGTAATAGATGTTCCGTGGGGGTGTACACGAGCGTGTCGGATCGGCTTGGCTTGGCACTAACACATCCCCGTTGTCAATTAGAAGCATCTGGTCGTGGCCGTCTACGATTTATGCTATGCCGTACCGATCGCCCCAACGAGTTCACCCAGCTTATCGATCGATGTTATTCTTTTGAGTATCGTCGTACGTCTTTGGGAAAGAAGCGATAGCCTTTGAAGCCCTGGTCGGGGACAAGTGGGGAATTCCGACATGGATCGTTTGATGGAAGCCGATTCATCGGTTGAATCATCGCTCGGAACGAAGATGTCATGTGGGAATGTGGGCGATTGCAGTCAAGGAAAAAGGCTACGATCCAGACGTCCCACCTCAAAGACAAAGGAATCACAATGAACATTAATTATCGATTAGCTCGATTGACAGCTGGCCGGGAAGATTTATAAGTTGACGCATGGGAGTACCGTACTTTGGGAAGATTTGTATAGGGGCATAAATAACTCCAACGCCTAGATCCATGATGTCCACCCACAAATCACCAAGCCGAGCAACTGCCCATGGCGAAAAGCCTTCCCATACCGGCCTTCCAGGATCCTTTGGATATGGCTGGCTGACTGGATCCATTGACAGCCGAGGAAGCCTGACAAAGGCTCACTCAACCATATATGTAGCCAAGATGACCAGCCCAGGGACCTGTCATAATCCTATCGTATCCCCAGACGGGATACGCAACGATTACGCGGTTTGCACGCTTTTTTCCGTCCAATCAATCAATCAATCATAGTCGTCCATATGTTTTCTGGAAAACGACGACGTCGGGTCGCGGAGCCAACACCTGCTCCTCTTCCGCTTTGCCGTCCCTTGCTTCCAAATCTTTCGCTCTACCTGTCCGGGCACCTGCACAATCAGAATCAGATGTCGGACGTAAAACAAATCAAAAGCTTGGAGGAACCGGTCAAAGGTTAAGTAAATAATGAGTAATTAGTCGACCACCTGTTTCAGGTGCTAGCCTCCGAAATGACAAGAACGCCACCGGATTAGCGATTTCATCCTCTAGCGGGCCTATTAATGGCGAACTGAGAAAGTTTTCCGACGACAGAGTGAAACTTAGGCCTCCGATGGGTATTATAATAGGATCAAAGATAACAATAACAAGTTGACATTCGTAAGAGTTCCGCTTATGACTCGATAATTGAAGAAAATTTTTATCGCTTTCAAAAGACTGAACAAAAAAACCGAAAACAGGAAAGGAAAGGATCAAGCTAGCCCGTCAAGCTATCAATAATTGCCACGGCTCCAAAAGGGAAATAGCAATGTGGCTTATTCGGAAGTGGACGAGTTATCGACTCTCGGCAACTTTATACGCCAGGATGGATGATTTCGTTTACCTTTTTCTGCTTCTTCTTCGATTTAGATATCTTACTTACATATGTTTTACCCTTCTGACCATTACTAACAATGGGCAATCAAACCTAAGTTTTGATTTTTGAAGTTTTGAGTGATTCTTGAAGTTTTGAGAGAAAAAGAAAGCAAAACGAGGAAGTAAGAAGTAAAGGTATATTTAGTACAAATTTATTGACAACTTCATTTATTTACTCCTATATTTCTTTTTTTTTTGCAGTCTTACTACGAAGCATTAGAGGTTAGAGGCCGGTAGCCACCCATCGAAATTGGTGACTGGACGAGTTTTCCTGCAATCACCCAACCTTCTGTAACCTGTTCTAACCTGTCTTGTACATGTCGTTGGAACAGTACATTATTTCTACACCTTATTCTGGTTAACACGAATCAAATGGGCGGTACTGGTGGGATGGGCGTGGTTTATCATATGAAGTAGATGTTACCACATACTAGACATTTTTCTGTTATGAAAAAGATTTGGGTCAAGTTCTAGTCAAAGTAGACTTCAATATAATCGATATCATCCCAATTATTCAGAATTCTCAATAGAATATTTTTTAATTGTAATTATAATAACACTTTATTTGTGATCTACCAACCTGAAACAAAAATGTTTATATTTTTGTCCTCTAACTTCTGAATGCTTACTCTTCAACACATAACCTTCAAAAACCGGGAAATACTAGATCCCGAATGGCATTGGTAGCAATACTATGACCGTGCGCTTAATTTCACGGTAGCAGAACCTTTTAAAAACAAAATTCAATTTCAGTGGAAGTTGGAAAAACTTAATTATCATGACTTACGGGGCGAAATTGGACGTTACCACAATCCGGGCATCGCTATATATTCAGGCAAACCTAACAGCTTCATTTTCATAGAAATAACTTTCTTTGAAGTATGTGAAAAATGACTTTTCAAGAAAAAAGTGGATTGATCGATTCATTACCAGATGTCCATCGAACAGAGAGCCCTCGACAGAGTATCATAGATCTTTCGAGTTTTTTCCCCCCTCAAACTCGGCTACGAATTTGAACGACCCTGACGAAACAGTGTCCAGCCTTCGACTTTGGATGGAGTATCTATCAATGTTCGGGAGAAAAAGAAAGGAAGATTCACCTGTCTCCAGGTCTTCTAAGCTCCACCAGATTTGGATAGTTCCACTTACACTGAATATTCCCTTTTCAAAATCGACAATAAATCAATCTCCAGGTCCCTCTGCACTCATACACCGTTTAGTGAGGAAAGGGTTCCCAATTGGGTGCGAGTCTCCCCTTTCCAGCTGCAGAATCGAATTTCGGGCGAGACTCCCCTGAACCCTCGACTCTGGACTCGTCGAACCTTGCCCATCCCTTCAGTTATTGGTTTCACCCTCGTCTGCCGATCGAAATGTATCCCTTTTATGGGAACGTCATACCAATTACCGCTCTGTTTTACGCCTTACTGCCAACAGCCCCCATTAAATGGGGCAATATTCTTTCGAAACAAAGCCTGTAGAATTAAATTTTGAGCCCGAATGGATATATGGACACAGACGGACAATGTCCCCGACCCCTTAAGAAGAGCCAATAATTACAGATGAGCTTACAATTGAATAATAGCCGACTAGGCTTTTCATGGATCGGAACCGCTGGAAAATGATCTGAGTTAATTATGTGGCGGCGGAAATGTGCACACACACACCCAGCCCATCTCCTAGCCGTCGTACTGGAACGACGGAGACGAATGAGGTCAAAAAATAATTGCCCTCTGCCCTGCTTCCATCTCATGATGGCCGATGAGCGTTCCTAAATAACGGTCGCGAAGTTGAATGATAGCCTGAAAGTGCAGCAAAGATCTCCATTGATGGAGCGCAGAGGAATCGTACTCTACTAGGGGTACTTTGGATCAAACGGCGGAATTGATCTGGTTGGTAGAGTTACTGTAAAGTTGCTGCACCCATAAATCACTTGCATACGGTCTAATCCATCGCCGGCACAAAACACAGCTGCTATAGCAGCATATCTGAACCTCTAGGCTCCAATTCTGTTACCCAGACCGGATTACAATGGAGATGTGTCCCCAAATCCTGACAAGTTCATGGGTGAGTTAGTCAACGCTTATTCTCACTGACAAGCCCAACGTGGGTGAGTATGACTGCGCTTATTCCACCTACAGTCTCTCATTCGATGTCTACCTTACCCCAAGGGCAATTTGTTCGCAGAGTCGCTTTGCAACCGCACGCGAGTGATCTAAACAATGTGTACTCCTGAGATTGTTTTCGGCTCGAAAGCCTCTCTTATACAGGGAATCAAATCGAAAGCGAAGGATTCGAGGGAAGACACTGTTCGAAACAGTGTATTTAGCGAAGCCCTCCTTGAGTGCCTTTTCGTCAGTCTAATAACCCTCGAAAATTGTTTCAAAAACACAAATATTGTAGATTTGAATCCAAAAGTGAAGGGTAAATTAAGGGATAAGCTATGCAGAAATAACGCTTTGCCGGCACCATACCATACATCTCTTCAAGAAGTAGAGTAGCAGCACGACCGCTTCGCGACCGCACGCGGCACTGGTCTACCCTTCTATTATGTTTGCAAGACGGTCTGCATGACATTGTAACCAGGGCAAAACAGCATGATTGTAAGATATGGACACAGAACCTTTCTACGAACCAAGTAGAGGAAGTCCTCAGCCGGTGAGGCTCTTATCATTTTAATAACTGCCATGAACAACGATGCCATAAAGGGATTATTACTTTGGCAGTTCGGCACCGTTTGATGTTCCTTTTGATGAGTGCCGCGAATAAAATCGTTATCACAGCTGTAGGTAAAAGACAGCAAGGGAACAATGGGCCCATATAACTGCATGAAAAGACCTTAGAACTTATTGCAAGAAAGTTCTCGACTGGGTTCAATGTTTTCTCTCATAATAACTAAAATAAAAGAAAAACAGAAATAGACAAAATAAGCGAATGAATAGTTTCGTTGTGTTTGTATATGATTTTTCCCTGATCGAAAGGAGACTGTAGAATTCGACTTAATCGAAAATATGGAAATAAACGTCAAAATTAATAGAAGAATGAATATTTAGCTTTTTTGCAAAAATTGAGATGACTGTATCAGAATGAAGTTAAAATAAACAGGCGAAAAGAAAGTAGAAAAAACATTATCTTATTAGTACAATTTTTTTAAAGTAACGTCAAGAAATTATGCCAAGTTAGGTTATTACTATTTGTTTATTATACCACAAAATTAGGAAGGAGTGAGCGTGAAATCACGAAAAAAATCTAGAATGGAAGCAAAATCACCTGTTCACAGACAGAACGGCAACTGGTAACCGCCTGAGGCATTCCTTCGGGGCACATTGGAGCAAATACTGAGCAGACGAAAAATTGAATATTTCGATTGCATTTTGTTTTAATCAACGGCTTGAAATGTTCGGTATTTGTTTGGAGCTGAAAAAATTAAAATAAATAAATAGATTGAGATCGAATCGAATGAAAATATACAAGGCAGGTTGTCAAGAAGTTTCACCTGATGTACAAGTCCGTGCTTTATCCTCCCAGACGAGTCTGGTACCAACTAACCGATCCCGGTGGGAAGTAAGTCCCCTTGGCGAATATCATATAGGGTTTGAACCGGGACTATGCAGAACGCCGCTGAATTGTTCACAGGCGAACTCAAATTACTGTACAAACCAAGCACCTAATCAGAGCCATACTACCGTAATTACACGTAGAACTATAATGCATGGCGCATTCCAGAAAAAGAAATCGATCATTGCCTGACAGTTTCACCTATTTTATGTTAACGATTACCGACTCATCGCTACACTACGCCGTGGCAAGGCTTAAAGATTGCTACCGAATGGAAGGAAAGAGTTCTCTGGTGTGAGCCGTGGAGTCACCTCCTCCTCAAGATCGTGGGAGGATTTGGAGCAATTCTAATTCATCTGTTCAGGACCAACTACTGCTCAAACCAGTATTTGTCTTTACAGGATTGATTTGGTTGCTATAAACCGATGTCAGTGGGTTGTTAAGAGATTTGAAGTGCAGAATCTTATACTGGATTCGAACTCTGGATCATGAATACAGTAGCGACTTTGTCTGTCATGAGAGTCTTTTGAGAGGTCATATGCATCACGGAATTGCTACCGAGCTAATCGAAGGCAGAACAGAAACAGAACAAATAATTCATCGAGTCGTTAAAAGTAAAAGGCTCTGACAGTCCGTAATGACAAGGAAAATGAATAAAAATGACATGAGGAGGAGCTAATGCTCAAACGATTTTTTTGTTTTTTCTCTATGTTTGTCTCTCCCCACTTTATTCTACATGGGCCTGTGTAATAAATAATTACAGCCACAATTTTTGGGAGTTTTTGAATAGTCGAGGGAGCTACCATTGAGTTTAGCCACCTAATATCCCATACTGAAGGGTAAATTATTTTCGTACCTAACAACATTCAGAATCAATAATTTTTAATAAAGGGAACTTAAAATCGGAGAAGATGGGAACTGATGACTTTTTCCCCAGCTACTACTAGAGAGTGTGACTGGTAACTTGAAGGAGAACGTTCAATTTCCGTTTTACCGAACGGAACGACTGAAGAGCTTCCGAACGCTCGATAGCTTTTTGGGTTATAAAATATTCTAAGAATCAAGCAATGAAGAGCCTAGCGCTCCAGGATGAGCCGCGCACTTGATTTTTTACAAAACTATATCCCAGTAGCAAAAGCACAACTTAACATTCAGTCGAGCAGCATATAACCGACTAGTACCTATACTGGAGGTAGTTAAGATTGATTAATCTCACTCCAGATTACCCTCCCGACCCAGCACTCTCTAAAAGACTGTTAGATGGTTCATTCAAGATGAATGTTTCCTGATAGAAAGAAATGTTTTTTGGGTTTCGACTTAAGAACGAAAGATGGAGTCTTCCGCGTCAATTGATTCCTTTCGGGGATGCGCCCCGCATTCGACCTCTATTGAGAATCGCAGCGGTGTAATGAATGCGTATGTGGCATATACAGTGAATTCGATGGGAAGTCAAGATACAAGTCAACGCTTTGGTACCCTATGATCGACTCCAGAAGGACGAAAGTCTGGTACCCAAAGATCGACTCCAGAAGGACGAAAGTCCGGTACCCAAAGATCGACTCCAGAAGGACGAAAGGTCTAATTGGCCTGGACCAGTACCAATGTCGGATTTGATTACGAAACTATGCGTACCACTTGCCATTACACTACCCCACTCTTAGTTATTGGGTAGTAATTATTGAATGTGCTGTGGCTGAGACGTAGTTGAGACATGACGGTGACTGAGACAAGTGCTCCCATCTTCCGTCGTCTTTTTTGTTCCCATGTAATGCGCGACATCCTTGGCGAACAAAAGCGAGCGCTTGCGTTGTTCCACTTTAATGCGCCCGTTTGGGTGGTCTTTTCACCGCTTTTCTCATCGTATCGAGCCCCATTGAAGCTACTTTTTCTCCTTGGCTTCATGTTACTCATATGTCCTTCACTACAGAATGAGTTCTTCTTTCTCTGGGAATAACGGTGGGATACCAATGGGATGAAGCGTTTTGTACAACTGGTTGATTCCTGAGTCAGAATTTTTCTGGTTTTGCGGCACTTACTTCCCTTGGTCTTTGGGGATCCATCTTTTTTCGAGACTGGGGATTCCCTTCTATGGGTTTGGGATTATTCTTTCCTTGGGACTACATAACTGCACACACCCATGGACATTTCATGTTCCCTCAGCCTAAGTTGACGATTCTTCAAGACAGAGCTCAAGTTCCGAGGGGGTAGTTCCTCTTTTCTGTGCAGGTAGCAATGTTCCCGAACCAGTTCATGGGTTTCGATCAGGTCCTCCTGAAGTACAACCCAACCAGCCGTAGTTCCAACGTTCAAGGGCCATCTCCCATGTGTGAGTGGTTCCTTTTTTCGGGGCTGACACTGACAGCTGCACTCAAGGAGTAGTCATGAGCGGTATTTCAATAGGGCAACGATTGCCGCCCAAAAACGATACGATACGTCCCCACAATGTCCCGAAACTATAGGTGTCATCAACACGGGCAAAATGGTATGCATAGGAGTGAAATTACCATAATCAATGGGTATCGGGATTGACGGCAAAAAAAACAATTTGGTCATGAGAATGTGAAATAAAATGTGGGTCCCGAAACGATGGCGCGACTGATACGATGCCCCTAATTGGTGGTTACGAAGGGATGAAAGCAAACTTCTCGGCAGCAAATCTATCGGACATAGAAATCAGCTGATTCGTTTAGCTTTAGCGTCAAGCGGGAATCAACGGGATTGGCATCGGCATCGGCATCGGGCATTTGGCGACTACAAATTGTAATCAGCAACGAAAATCGGACAATTGTCCTCTTCGCCCAAGTTTACGCTACCACTTGGGAATGCCCCCCTTCTCAGAAACGGGTAGGCTAACGTACTTTTCAGTTAGTGACTCGAGCGCTTTGTTAGGCTACTCGAAACATCGGTACTTTAATTGGATAACGAAATAGAAAAAACAATTTGGATACTGTAGTCAGGATAGGGATACGGTAGCGACACTAACAGATAGGATTTGACAGCTGAATCTGTCCCAGCCTTTTCACAACAAGCATCCCTACCGTACCTTACCTTTGCTCTCCCTTTACTCATCCTCTGCGGGTACTCATTAGTATTTCCATAAACCAGAAGTCAAAGCCTGATTCTATGAGAACATGCAATTTTATCGCGATGAGCTCGATTCAACCTACCATCGGGGAAATACCAAAAGTCATCGGTTCCCATGGAAATTATCGCTCAACTACTACCTCGACGGGGGCGAAAATCAAAAGTCAAAGTATGATTTTGTAGTAAATGGGTAATAATATGCAGGACCTTCGGTTATTTCCTTAGGGCCACTAAAAAGAGCGAAGGGAATAGGCCTATCAATGGTAAATGATGGTGTAGCGGCATTTGTGTTGTGTGTGAGAGGGGTCTCGTCTGGACGGGAGATAGGCAAGCCTAACGTCGTCACTTCTGGGAAAATGTCATCGTTGAGTACGAGGAGATCGGCATCGTTACGAAACAAAGTCGATGACGACGAGAGAAACGAATGAGCGACATTTCGTTTGAATCCAACCCAATCATTCCCGATGAGGGAAAGAAGTCACCAGAAAAGGTGGAGGAAGGTAGAGAAGGAAGATGAAAAAGAGGAAGGAAAAGAAACAGAAACGATTCGTCACTCCGGTAATTACCTTTTGCTTTAAAGTCAACATCATTCCAGGTAATTGGCGAAAGACAGAAAAAGTGAGAGGAATGTAGGAAGAGAAGGAAAAGAGGAATGCGAAAAATTTAGAACCACTCTTCAGTGAATCGGAAGTGGTTGTGAACGACCTTTTGTTAGAATTCAACATTACCCCAAAAAAGGGATGAAAGTCAGATGGGATTTAGGGGAAATCGCAGAAACAAGGAGGAGAAAAAGAAAAAGAACCTTTCCGCAGGTCGATGAAAGACTTACCTCCGGGGCCAATACTACCCTATAGAGTGATGGAAGTCAGAAGGAAAGAGAGAAGAGTGTAGGAGAAGATGATAATGGAGAATTGCGATGACTAGAATGGCAAAATGAAGACAATAAGAAAATGAAGGCAAAATGATGAGGAGGATCGAGAAAACAGATATGACCGGGATTCAGGAAGAAGGATTGAAGGGATGACCATCTTGAATCGGAAGAACCGATGAAAACAAGACGAGGAAAGGAGGGAAAAGTACAGAGAGGAAGAGAAAAAGGTGATGGAAGGACCTACCACAGCTGGTAGGTAGAAAAATACAATCGTATTTGAAAAATGACTTTGTCACACAACACAGGACAACTGCTCCTATGGAAAAACTTCTTGAAATATCTCTGGTGATTATTCCCTGAAGATTAATGTTCACGTTGTCGATGATGCTAGAACTTCCAGTTTTTTTGGGAAAAGTTTGTGGAAGGTGAATTTTAAAAAAAAATGCAATGCAACGATTTCAAGAAAATCTGGGAGCCTGGGAGCAAAGAAATTTCCGGGCTTCGCGGTACCAGGTAACTAACTGGTAGGTATTGCGTAAGTGGGTACCCTAGTCCTCGTACAGGCCGAATTCTGTGGTTCGGATCAGTTCGATTCATATTCAGAATTATAGTGAAATGCGGATAATATCGTCCCATGCCGAGATAAGGCCCTGCCAGATAGCCACTGAACAATTCTTTCGTCTGTACATGCACTGAACTCATTCCTGGCAGTTCCAATTCAAAATTCAACCCGGATAAGGCTCACTGCTGACTTTTAACTTTCGCCAAAACGAGCCAAGATAAGACACCATTAAAGCGCTTGGTGAATAAACCCACTTAGTTTGTTCAAGTGTCATATTTTTCTAAATTTTCTGGAATCAGATCGACCTTCTCAAGGTACCCATAAGTATTTAATAAGTTAAATGGGTAATAAGACCTACTAAAATCAAGTAGTAAAACTGTCCGAGATAAATTCTGTTCTAGAAAATTCCATCTAGAAAAATTGTGATAACTTACTGCCCAGTAATAATGTTTATGTTATGGTTAGAAGTCATTAAAATCTTATCTAAAACTCGTAAAATGCCATTATCAATAGAGAAAGGCCGTCGTGTTAGACTCATAACTACGACTAGGACCACCACGAAAGGAAAGGAACGAGGAAAAAGAGAAAGAGGAAAAGGAACAGAATAAAAAAAACAGGAAGAAAACTCACGCTTTGCTGATCCTGTTGTAGATAGGGATTTGGAAAATATGTATAATTGTAAGGGACTTCTTTACATAATGGAATTTCAATCGGCTGACATTTTCCTTTCGAAGTCTGAAATTGCTCGGATTTCCCCAGGTAAGTCTAAAATTGGGAAAAAACTTTTTTTTCAACTCGAAAATTACTCCCAGAAGAGATTTATTAAAATCTCTCCCAATGAGGGAGCACTGGAACGACTAACTGAAGGATTTTCCCGCCTGATTCTTCTAGGAGAGTGGACTGCTCCCCAATAGCCAACTTGATGTGAGGAAAACTAGTAGGTTTACGTCCCAAGTATATAACCCCCACACATCGGTCGGTAAATTCCTAGTCTTCCCCAAACAGACGAAGTACGAAGTAGGAGTACCTGTAGTAGGAGTCCTGGATGGTGCGAAAGTTATACCGCCTTTGAAACAAAAAAAGATTCTAAATTCTCAAAAATTCGCAAATCGCTGCCAAATTGTTTATCATTACAATCACTAACTACTCCAAAGGTAAAATACGGCCCCTATCATCAGACAAGGAAATCAAGCCTGGGTGAGCCTCAGCACCCCCTTTCTACCCAAACTTTTCTAGCATTCCGTTACCGAAACGGAGATTTGAAAGGTTTGCCCAGGAAATGGGTCCCCACAGGGATTGGCGGTGTTTTTCAAGCATATAAATGGCCATGTACTAAAGGCATATCTTGTCATAAGCCCATAAAAACAACGTTGAATCGACACTGAGCCAAATACGACCCAATTTGGGGATCTCCCACACCCAAGTGAGCTCTTTCGGTTGGGTCAGAGCTCGGCAACTTCAAAAGCACTTAAAGAACCTGGGAGAAGGTAAGGTCAGAGGGTGTGAGCCCAAATAAAGTGAAGATTTCGTCAATAACTCCAGAAGAAACTCCCGACGAGAAGGAGGAATCGCCAAAATCAATAATCAAACTGACTTGGTCGAATATCGAGGCAGCATACAGCTGTCGATCGAAGACGATGATAAGCACAAGGCTGATCTGGACCGTAGAACTCCACCACATCCGTATGTACTGCAGTAATGGTTGTGAGTAGGAAGAGGGTTGGCCAGGAAGGCTGTGTGGTGGTGGCAATGATGGGGAGGGCGACGGGCAAGGGGTGAATTCGCAGCGTTATGGTGGGGAATCGCGCGGCCGCCGGTCGCAGCCCCCATCCCCAGGCCACGCCCACGTCCCGTGCAGCGGCCGGCGCTCGTCCAACGCTTCAAAATTTATTACCTACGGTTTGGTGGCGACGATCGCCATCCGAGCGTTGTTATGGATTACTGGGAGTTGCAAGACGTAACCAACGTTGGATATGACGAATAGGAAGTCTGAGTTAGTTGCCGTGACCTGTAGGACCCCATACGGGCACGGGAGGTTCGGTTAGGTAGCCCACGGTAGTTAACCCCAATCCCGTCAGTAACTGGAAAAATCAGGCAATTTCTGACTTCCCATAGAACCTGTTCTCGCAGAGGCTCGTCGAGGCGGCCCTGAAGCTTTCCCGAATGGGCTTTGACTCCTCGCCCTCTTTTTAGGGCCGCTCATTGCACAATAGTCTGTTGACCGGCTGCCGCTACTTTCACCCCTCACTTCTTTGTTTCCCTAACAGGCAACTAAAAAGTCAGCCCTGAGCGGGTGACTGCCTACTGAAGGGGGACAACTTGTATTTTCAACTGTGACTTGATGTGCCCATTGAAAAGAGGGTCAGGTTAGGAAAGAATCCAATCAGCCTAAAA